CTCCTTCTCACCTCACTTCCCTACATTAACACACGTGGGCGGCTCTTTACCACCACACCAACAGTCACGTTAAGCATTCCTGACAGGCGTCATGACACGCAATCTTCTACCCACTTTGCGGTGTTAGTAGCCACACGTCAGACACGCTTTGTTTCCATCACAAAAGTAATGAATACTGACAGTCCTCCCCACCTTCATGTGCTCTCCCTAGTCGAAATCAGCGCATTTCCTGAAGACGATATCTCGACAATTCTATCTGTTATCACATTGCAGGCCAATCCTTATCTTCGCATTCTGCAGCTGTGAAAAGGACTGCAGTTTGACTCGTAAGGCAAATAAGCTTGAACTCCATCTGTCAGGTTAGGCCATCATTTGATAAGATGATGGAGAGTTCAAAACGATAGGGATATAGCAGAGTGCACGACAAGGAGTGCCTCAATGCGGCTTCACGATGCATGCACTTTGCAAGCCTCTACGAATTTCCGGAAGTCACTAAAGCCAGTTATTACGAAAAACCTCAGGAACCTTTTGAACAAATTATACCATTAAAATATAGAAATAAAATACTTTGCTTTGATGAATTCTTGTATCTACGCGGAGTTTTTATTGATACTGGCTTATTTTAAGCAACTTGCCAAATCTGCCTGCCTTCATCTCTTTGGCATACCTCTGGCCAGGTGGGAACGGACCTCTATTTTTACACCATCATAATTAGTCTTGAGCAGCCCTACTCCCTATATGTAATAAGTAGTACGTTTATATTGCTTTTAGGATTTATCAAGAGAATTTTGACAACTGTCGAGCCACCTACCTAGCAAAGATTGACCAATTGACGAGTTATCAGTAATAATTAATCCATTTCGCGTGAAATCATTTTAGCATCGAAGGATCATATGCGAAAAATTCCTTTCAAACTAAATAAATTTGCCACCAAAGGTTTTAAAATTTGTTTCCCGTTTATTTATTAGTTGCAATCTTCAGGACAATAATGCCTTGTAATTTTTCGTTGGATCATCTCCTTTCAGTAGTAACGTGATCATAAAACCCTTTAAGTTATCATTTTTTGCTTTAAGTTCTCCTGACCAGTCCCAGTCGCACGTTCTTTGCAATGGCTGCACAGAAATGTTTGACGTGTGTTAGTTTATGCATTTCAGCCATTAAAGTTTTATTAATTACAAGTACGTCG